TTTGATTCTGTATAATGTACATAAACAAATCTAGAGCCTGAAGTTATAAGAGCTTCCAATGCTGTTATTCTTGTACTTGGGCAGCCTCTGTTGTCCATTTCTTCAAAAAAGCCTGATTTTCTTCTTATGGAAAGAGGGAGTTGGCATAAATACACCAGGAAGTTCTCTTTAACTGCCAGGAGACACTAAGCAAAAGCACAATTACATTTGTTTTTCTTTTTATTGAGTAAAATATAAATAACGTAGAATTTACCATTTTAAACATTTTTAAGTCTACAGTTCTGTGGCATTAAATACAATCACATTGTTGTACTAGCATTATCACCTTTCATCTCCAGGACTGTTTCATCTTCTCCAGCTGAGACTCCATACCATTAAACACTAACACCATATTCCCTTCTTCCCCCAGCTCCTGTAAACCACCATTCTACTTTCTGTCTATGAACTTGACAACTCTGTAAAACTCCCATAAGAAGAATCATACAGGGGCATATGGGTGGCTCAGTCAGTTGACCATCTGACTCTTGATTTCAGCTCAGGTCATGATCCCAGGGTAATGGGATCGATCCCTGCGTCTGGCTCTGTACTCAGCATGGAGACTGTTTTAAGATTCTCTCTCTCCCTCTGCCCTTCTCCCCTACTCGTGCGCCCCCCCCAAAAAAAAATAATTAAAAAAAATAGAATCATACAATATTTGCCATTTTGTGATTGGCTTATTTCACTAAGCACAGTGTTTTCAAGATTCACTGATCCTTTATCATGGGCCAAAATTTCCTTATTTTTTAATGCCAGTTTTCCATTGTATGTATATACCACATTTTGTTTATCCATTCATTTGTTGGTAGACACTGGGTTGCTTCCACTTTTTGCCTATTGTGAACAATACTGCTGTGAACATGGGTGTACAAATACCTGTGTGAGTGCTTGCTTTCACTTTTTTTGGGTATATTCCCAGAAGACCTTTACCTTACTATAAATGAGGAGGTATTGGGATTCTAGATGTATAGTAGCTTACCTTCAAACTAAATTTACTATTAGGATCTTTTTCCTGTTGAACATTGGACATTTTCTCACTGCTGACTCTTTTCCTAACCTATAGTGGGAGTGAAAATTTTTACTTTTAGATAATTTTTAGTAATCCTTAATTTTTTAATTACCAGAATTCTTTTAAAAAAAAAGTCATTACCTATTATATTTACACCTAAAATAGAATTTTTTTTATTTTTATTTTTTTTATTTTGAGAGAGAGGGAGAGAGAAAATCCCAAGCAGGCTCTGTGCTAGGAGTATGGAACCTGATGTGGGGCTCAATATCACGAACCATGAGATCATGGCCTGAACTGAAATCAAGAATGGGAAGCTTAACCAACTGAGCCACCCAGGCACCCCTGAAATAGAATTCTGTGCAATATTTCCAGTTTTTCATTCTACATGCAATTTAGTGCCTTGAGTGAATGCTTTCAGGAAGACAGTGGAAGATCTTTATGCAAGATGAACGTGTTTTAGGACATAGTGATAAACTCACTTTTATAGATGTCAGTGCTTTCACAATGCTTTCATAATACACACTAGGTTAATTTTTCATGCACACAGATGCATTTCTATAGCTAGGTTTTTCATATTCTGTAAACTAACTAGTATCTTAGTTCTATTTTGTTGACAATACAAAGTAGGATTGCCCTGGTAAGGAAATAGCCATTGAGGAATCTTTTTGGATTATCTATTCATGTTCCCCTTTTCTTCATGCAGGTAGCTTTCTACTTTCCATTTGTTAACTGTTCACTAAAAGGATATTCTCCATCTTGCTGTTTCCTTAGATAATAAATCAGCTATCAACATATTAATATATTCTCTATTGTATATTTTACCTTATCCAAGAAAGTTTATTATTTTTAATGTTTTTAATTTTGAGAGAGAGAGCATGTGTGCAAGTGGGGGAGGGGCAGAGAGACAGGGGGATAGAGGATCTGAAGCAGTCTCTGTGCTGACAGCAGACAGCCTAAGGAGGGGCTTGAACTCATGAACCATGAGATGATGACCTGAACTGAAGTTGGACGCTTAACCGACTCAGGCACCCAGGTGCCCCCAAGAAGTTTATTTTAACGTACACTTTAACAACTATTCAAAATATGTAAGCCATGGAATCAGAACAATATTAGCAAAGTAAACCTAATACCTTTCATTGCTTTATTTGTAAGGAAACACTATTTTATGGTATCCTGATGGGTGAAAACTGCGCTTCTGACTGTTTTCCTGCCGCTAGGGGGCTAGGTTTTCCTTAGCTGTTAAAACTCTAGAAAAAAGTCTTGTTTTTTTCAGAGTTTTGGCAAACACTACAAATGCCTCCTTGGTGTTTTCCATTTGGATTTAAGTTCTTTCCCAGGATGTTTGAAAGCATAAATATTCTGGGAAATCAAATTCAAATCTGAAACATTGAAATTATATATTTCAATAATCCTCAAAGGTTAAAGTGAAGAACCTGCTTGCCTAACCTATATTAGAAGTGATGAGAATATGAATTTTATGTGGCCATCACTGGAATTGTTAAAATAATGTAATCCAGAAAACATCAGCCCTTACATGTGTATCTGAACTAGAATTCTGTCCATTATTTCAAGGTTTTCCTTCCATGTGCAAGATTTAATGACTTTAATTGCATATGATATTAGAAAACATTCTAATATTTTTATTAGAAAATATTTATTTTAATTTTATTTTCAGAACTTCTGACATTTTAAAAATCAGTAGTGAATAATAGATAAGTAGGGAAACACTGCAATGAATTTTTACAATCTTTAGGCTAATTTACTTTCAAAGATTATAGAATAAGATTATTTAGTAATTTTATTAGCATAAGCAAAATACGAAAAATGTGGACATAAAAAGAGAAAGTTGCCACCTTATAATAAAGATAACGTAAAAATATTCATCAAATGGAATTCTAGGAAAATTAAAACATTACATTTTAGGACGAAGGAAAGATGAGGGAAGTATTGTGGTACGTTAAAGAGCAGGTGGGGGTGCCTGGGTGGTCAGTTTGTTGAGTCCAGCTCTTCATTTTGGCTCTGGTCTTGATCTCATGACTGTGGGATTGGTGCTGTGTGTGGAACCTGCTTGGGATTTTCTCTCTCCCTCTCCCTCTGCCCCTCCCCTGCTTTCACTCTATCTCTCCCTCTCAAAAAAAAAAAAAAAAAAAAAAGCTTGTGCTTTGGAGTTTGATGCTGGCCCTGTCAATATCAGCTTTGTGACTTTAAGCAAATTATTTAACATCTCTGAGCTTTAGTTTCCTTGTTTTTATAAAGTAATGTTAATACCTCATTTAGCTGTTTTTTGGATTAAATGAAGCAATATATGTAAAGCACCTAGTACTGTGCCTGGAACATGGTAGGCACTCAATAAATGTCATCCTCTGTTTAATCCAAAGGTGTGATGTGCTATAACTGATTCTCATTTGTTCTGGAGAGTCTTTTTCTGGAAAAGAGGAGGCTCAACCTATTATTAAGATTGCATCTGTGGGGCACCTGGGTATTTTCAGTCGGTTAAGCATCCAACTTCAGCTCAGGTCATGATCTCATGGTTTGTGGGTTTGAGCCCTATATTCGGCTCTGTGCTGACAGCTCAGAGTCTGGAGCCTGCTTCAGATTCTGTGTCTCCCTCTCTCTCTGCCCTTCCCCCACTCATGTTCTGTCTCTTTTTCTCAAAAACAAATAAACGTTAAAAAAAAAAAAGACTGCATCTGTAAGTATAACTATCCCAGTACAAAGAGTTCAGTCTTTTATGGATCTCCTAACTGTAAAGAGAAAACTTGGAAAACCAACTTTTTTAGTTAAAATAATGGTACTAGTTATGTATTTTTTTATTGCTTACTGTATGCCAGTACTATTCTAAGTGCTTTATGCTTATTAACTCATTCATTCCTCACAACAGACATATAAGGGTATGTACTATTATACCCTTATTTTAATAAGATGCAGAAGCTGAGGCCCAAAGAGATTAACCTTGCTCAAGTTTATATAGCTATTAAGGTTTTGTTCTTGGAGCCAAATTCTTTTTTTTTAATATATATATTTTTTTTAATTTCTAGGAGAGAGAGAGAGAGACAGCGTGAGCAGGGGAGGGTCAGAGAGAGAGGGAGACACAGACTCTGAAATAGGCTCCAGGCTCTGAGCTGGCAGTCAGCACAGAGCCTGACGCGGGGCTCGAACCCAGGAACCACGAGATCATGACCTAAGTGAAAGTCGGACGCTTAACCGACTAAGCCACCCAGGCACCCCTCTTGGAGCCTAATTCTTAATAATTTGTTTAAATGGTTAAAACATTTTTGCCTGCATTTACTGGATGCATTATATAATGGTAAGAACATTTGGAGAGTATTTCACTTATTTTATCCTTAAAAAACACACCCTCCTCCAAATGATTGTTACTATTAAAATATTTGAAACAATTATTTTGGAATTCCAAACATGTTCTGATATTTGCAGTAAAATGAAATTACATTCAATAAGAATAAATGTTTGATTAGAAAGGTAACAAAATGTTTAGATGCTAAAGAAATCATTTAGAAAAGTAGACATGACCCTTTAAAATGACTTAAAGAAATTTTCTTTAAGTTTGTTTATTTATTTTGAAAGAGAGAGAGAGAATACAGGTGGGGGAGGGTCAGAGAGAATGAGAGACAGCATCCGAAGCAGGCTCTGCACCATCAGCACTGAGCCCAATGCAGGGCTTGAACTCAAGAACCACGAGATCATGACCTGAGCCAAGATCAAGAGTCAGATGTTTAACTGACTGCGCTACCCAGGCTCCCCTAAGATGGCTTTTTAAATTATTTAATTACCATGTTTTCAACAAATTATAGCACCTAACTGGATTAAATCTAATTTTATCGCATCCCCAAAAGAAAGCTTTTGGAATTGTTCTTTCCAAGTTGAAAGGGGAGCGCTTTAAATGCTATACAGGTTAACTTGGTTGATGCCTCTTCTCTGTTTGAATTTGTCCCAGCTGTACTACAGTGCTGCTCTCCTTCTACCCACATGGACGCTCTAAGTAGTTGTGTGACTCCCACTGCCTCTTCCTATGCACACTGCAACTACTTCCAGGTAAGATTCTTGGAACAATGGACACACTCTGCACTTCTCGTGCAATATTATTGACCTTGCACAGTTTTAAAGTGTGATTTTATCTTAATGAGTAGCCAGAGGTAAGCTGTGGATTATGGCTTCAGTTTTCTCAGTTCTTGAAAAGGGAGTTGATATAAATGGTGTCTGAGATTCTTCTAGGCCTGAACTGTCCAAAACAGTAGGCATTAGCTACATGTGGCTATTTAAATCTAAATTAATTAAAGTTAAATAAAACCTAAAATTCATTTCTAGTTCTCAAAGTCTCATATGGCCAGTGGCTATCAAATTGTACAGCAGAGATAGAGAGCATTTTCATCATTGCTGAAAGCAAGTTTGACCATTGCTGTTCTAGGCTCTTCTATGGTAAAAATGAATACCAGATAAACTTTAAAAGTGTATGTCACTATTAACAGATTCTTCCAAGATGGTACAGATAATTTTTTAATGAGAAAGGAAAAATGAAATAAAAAATGAGAAATTTAAGTGGTGATCCCCTTTTGCCCCCATATTGTAAACACTCTGCTTCATCTATTCTGATTATTTCTTGAGAAACAATTGCATTGATTTAAGTGTTTTAGACTGCTATTTCTAGGATAAGACTAAATACCATGCTTTGTCTTTTTATGCTATAATTACTTAAAGGTTGGAATTGTGCGTTTGCCTTTGATATCATCCAGTTGAGATAGCTTCTGATTTTTTAAAAAATGTTTATTTGTTTATTTTTGAGAGAGAGAGAGAGAGAGAGAGAGAGGACAAGCGGGGAAGGGCAGAGAGTGGGAGACAAAGAATCCTAAGCAGGCTCCAGGCTCTGAGCTGTCAGTGCAGAGCCTGATGCGAGGCTCAGTGTGGGGCTTGAACCCATGTACTGTGAGACCATGGTCTGAGCTGAAGTCACACGCTTAACAGACTGAGCCACCCAGGTACTCCTAAGATAGCTTCTGTTTTGAAGAGAGTTATCTTTCTAGTGGCATTCCAGTATGTAAAGAAACATTACTTTTTTGGCTTTTTTTGGACAAAACTACATGGGAAGTCAGATTGTTGTTTGAAGAGTATAGAATCAGATCAAAGGGACTTAGTTGGACATTGTTAAAGGCAGGTACCATCGAGCATAATAGTCCATTCTGTTTATCTTCACTTACAAATTAGATGTTCTTGTTTGTGGATCCAGATGCTCTCTCCCTTGCATCATGCTAGAGATTTTCTGACAGTATTTATGTCTTGGTTATGTTTATGTTTTAAATAAATTTTTTTAATGTTTTATTTATTTCTAGGAGAGAGAGAGAGAGAGAGCGTGAGCAGGGGAGGGTCAGAGAGAGAAGGAGTCACAGACTCTGAAACAGGCTCCAGGCTCTGAGCTGGCAGTCAGCACAGAGCCCAACGAGGGGCTAGAACCCACAAACCGCGAAATCATGACCTAAGAGAAAGTCGAACGCTTAACCGACTAAGCCACCCAGGCGCCCCTGTTTTAAATAAATTTTTAAAAATATCTTTAAAGACTGTTTCTTACTACAAAGACAATACAAGTTACAGGAAAATAAAGATAGGTAGACGTAAATTTTTTTTCAGTCAGAAAACACTTTTATTACCATGCCAGCTTAATTTTATTTTCTTAAATAGTTTACTATCAACTTGGTTTCCATATAACACCTAGTGCTCATCCCAACAAGTGCCCTCCTCCATGTCCATCACCCCCCTTCCCTTCTCCTCCACCCCTATCAGCCCTCAGTTTGTTCTCAGCATTCAAGAGTCTCTCATGGTTTGCCTCCCTCCCTCTCCCCAACTATTTTTCCCCTTCTCCTCCCCCATGGTCCTCCGTTAAGTTCCTCCTAATCCACCTAAATGTGCAAACATATGGTATCTATCCTTCTCTGCCTGACTTATTTCACTCAGCATAACACCCATAAGTTCCATCCATGTTGCTACACATGGCCAGATTTCATTCTTTCTCATTGCCATGTAGTATTCCTTTGTATAGATAAACCACATCTTCTTGATCCATTCATCAGTTGATGGACACTTAGGCTCTTTCCATGTTTTGGCTATTGTTGAGAGTGCTGCTGTGAACTTTGGGGTACATGTGCCCCTATGCATCAGCACTCCTGTGTTCCTTGGGTAAATTCCTAGCAGTACTATTGCTGGGTCATAGGGGAGTTCTATTGTTAATATTTTGAGGAACCTCCACACTGTTTTCCAGAGGGGCTGTACCAGTTTACATTCCCACCAACAGTGTAGGAGGGTGCCCGTTTCTCCACATCCTCGCCAGCATCTAGAGTCTCCTGATTTGTTCATTTTAGCCACTCTGACCAGCTTGAGGTGGTATCTCAGTGCTGTTTTGATTTGTATTTCCCTGATGATGAAGGACACTGAGCATCGTTTCATGTGTCTGCTGGCCATCTGGATGTCCTCTTTGGAGAAGTGTCTGTTCATGTCTTCTGCCCATTTCGTCACTGGATTATTTGTTTTTCAAGTGTAGAGTTTGGGGAGTTCCTTATAGATTTTGGATACTAGCCCTTTATCTGATATGTCATTTGCAACTATCTTTTCCCATTCTTTCAGTTGCCTATTTAGTTTTATTGATTGTTTCCTTTGCCGTGCAGAAGCTTTTTATCTTGATGAGGTCCCAATAGTTCATTTTTGCTCTTGATTCCCTTGCCTTTGGGGATGTGTCAAGTAAGAAATTGCTGCAGTTGAGGTCAAGGAGGTTTTTTCCTGCTTTCTCCTCTAGGGTTTTGATAGTTTCCTGTCTCACATTCAGGTCCTTTATCCACTTTAGAGTTTATTTTTGTGTATGGTGTGAGAAAATGATCTAGTTTCATTCTTCTGCATGTTGCTGTCCAGCTCTCCCAGCACCATCTGTTAAAGAGGCTGTCTTTTTTCCTTTGGATACTCCTTCCCGTTTTGTCAAAGATTAGTTGGCCATACATTTGTGGGCCCAATTCTGAGTTCTGTATTCTATTCCATTGGTCTATGTGTCTGTTTTTGTGCCAATACCATACTGTCTTGATGATTATAGCTTTGTAGTAGAGGCTAAAGTCTGAGATTGTGATGCCTCCTGTTTTGGTTTTCTTCTTCAATATTACTTTGGCTATTCAGGGTCTTTTGTGGTTCCATACAAATTTTAGGACAGTTGTTCTAGTTTTGAGAAGAATGCTGGTGCAATTTTGATTGGGATTGCATTGAATATGTAGGTTGCTTTGGGTAGTAATGACAGTTTAACAATATTTATTCTTCCGACCCATGAGCATGGAATGTTTTTCCATTTCTTTGTGTCTTCTTCAATTTCCTTCATAAGTTTCTATAGTTTTCATCATACAGATCTTCTATATCGTTGGTTAGGTTTATTCCTAGGTATTTTATGGTTTTTTGTGCAATTGTGAATGGGATCAGTTTCTTGATTTCTCTTTCTGTTGCCTCATTATTGGTATATAAAAATGCAATCAATTTCTGTACGTTGATCTTGTACCCTGCAACTTTGCTGAATTCATGGATCAGTTCTAGTAGGCTTTTAGTGGAGTCTGTCGGGTTTTCTATCTAGAGTATCATGACATCTGCAAAAAGTGAAAGTTTGACTTCTTCTTTGCCAATTCTGATTCCTTTTATTTCCTTTTGTTGTCTGATTGCTGATGCTAGCACAGTGGTAAGAGTGGACATCCCTGTCGTGTTGCTGATCTCGGGGAAAGCTCTCAGTTTTTCTCCATTGAGGATGATATTAGCTGAGGGCTTTTCATAAATGCCTTTTATGATGTTTAAGTACATTCCTTCTATCCCAACTTTCTCAAGTGTCTTTATTAATAAGGGATGCTGTATTTTGTCAAATGCTTTTTCTGCATCTATAGACAGGATCATATGGTTTTTATCTTTTCTTTTGTCAATGTGATATATCACATTAATTGAGTTGAGAATATTGAATAGCCCTGTAACCCAGGAATGAATCCCACTTGACCATGGTGAATAATTCTTTTTATGTGCTGTTGGATTCGATTTGCAAGTATCTTGTTGAGGATTTTTGCATCTGTATTCATCAAGGATATTGGTCTGTAGTTCTCTTTTTTTACTGGGTCTCTGGCTGGGGAATCAAAGTGATGCTGGCTTCATAAAATGAGTCCGGAAGTTTCCCTTTGATTTCTATTTTTTGGAATAGCTTGTGAAGAATGGGTATTAGCTCTGTTTTAAATGTCTGGTAGAATTCCCCAGGGAAGCCGTCTGGCCCAGCATTCTTATTTGTTGGGAGATTTTTGATAACTGATTCAGTTTCTTCATTTGTTATGGATTGGTTCAGATTTTCTATCTCTTCCCGTGTGAATTTTGGTAGTGAGTGTGTGTTTAGGAATTTGTCCATTTCTCCTAAGTTGTCTAGTGTGTTGGCATATAATTTTTCATTGCATTACCTGATAATTGCTTGTATTTCTGAGGGATTGGTTGTAATAAGTCCATTTTCATTCATAATTTTATCTGTTTGGGTGCTCTCTCTTTTCTTTTTGAGAAGCCTGGCTAGAGGTTTATAAATTTTGTTTATTTTTTCAAAAAATCAACTCTTGGTTTCATTGATCTATTCAACTGTTTTTTGTTTTTGTTTTTTGGATTCTATATTGTTTATTTCTGCCTTGATTTTTATTATTTCTCTTCTCCTACTGGGTTTGGGGTGCTCTTGTTGCTCTCCTTTTAGTTCTTTTAGGTGCACTGTTAGATTTTGTACTTGCGCTTTTTCTAATTTCTTGAAATTGGCCTGGAGTGCAATGTATTTTCCTCTTAGGACTGCCTTTGCTGCATCCCATAGAGTTTGGATTGTTGTACTTTCATTTTCATATATTTTTTAATTTCTTCTCTAATTGCCTGATTGGCCCATTCGTTCTTTAGTAGGGTGTTCTTTAACCTCCATGTTTTTGGAGGTTTTCCAGACTTCTTCCCGTGATTGATTTCAAGTTTCAAAGCATTATGATCTGAAAGTGTGCATGGTATGATCTCAATTCTTTTATATT